ATCTTCAATATTCCTGCTTCAGTTTCAATGTCATCTGATGTCACAGATACTCATACTTCTACTGCAATGCCACTTATAGATGCACTAATTTTGCCTAATTCGCAGCAAATTGTGTTAAGCAATGACACAATAGGATGCCAAGCAGCAGTAATAGAGAATACAGTGGACAGAACTATTGTGAATCCACTGTTGACATCTTCCAGTGCTTCGGTAGAATATCGATATTTGAAACGACCAAATGATAGTGGAAGTCAATCGTTGGAACATTGCAACGAATTGGATGTAAAACGATCAACAAGGAATGAAATGTTTGAAACCAATTTCAATGAACAACACTTATCATCAAAGCCATCGGTTTCATATCCAACAAATCAGATGTCAGAATTTTCACCATATGTTGATGAAATGTCTAACAATATGCACTCAGGTGAAACGTCAACCAATAATGCTCCTTCATATGGCTCGAAATTTCATCTCTGTAATATGATTCAGCCATTCCCAGTTACCGATTCTCTTGTGACAATATCAGTAAGCTTTTTTTTGTGAGATTAAATAAGTCTAATTGGTTTTGTGTAATCAGAAAATAGCATAATGCCGTAAATATTTAATGAACAAAATAAATACAATCATTTCAGGAAACCAATCAAGAGGACAGAGGAGAAGTATTTCAAGAAGTGAAATCATATTCAGATCCCAGCTCCTCTGCTGCAACAAACAATACTGAGCAACAAATAACATATACTATGCCAGCTGGATTTCACGAACAACAATTATCACGACAATTAGTTTTGAATTTTAACATTCCCATGAACAGAAATCATTTAGTGAATAGACGGCATCAAGTTTTACCTGCTACATCTCAGCTTAGTCCATCACTACATAAGAAGAAGGATGATCGTGAAAGCCGCAAAAATTCTTTGATGTATTCAAATGAAGAAAATAGTAATTTATGCGCTGTATGTGGCGATAAAGCTTCGGGGAATCATTACGGTGTATTAAGTTGTGAAGGATGCAAAGTACGCATTGTAATTAATGCGCAGAGATTTTATTCATTGGTTAAAATTGATGTAAAGTATTGCAGAATAATAGGCAAGCCAACATTCTGAATGTACTCTTTCATGTCTTCCTAATGTCTAACCATTGCTATTACATATTGTGACAAAATTTCTCTGAAAAATCTGAGAAATAAGCAATAATTGTTTGTTTTTATTAATAATGACTAATTGGTTGCGTAATATTTTTAGACAATTCATTTAGGGTTTTTTTCGAAGAAATATCCAGAAAAAAATGAAATACACATGCTATAATGGTGGTAATTGTATAGTGAATGTGGAAAACCGAAACAAATGTCAACCTTGTCGACTGAAGAAATGTCTTAGTGTAGGCATGCGTCCATTATCGGTATGTTTTGATTGCAATTCGATGACGAAAAGATGAAGTATTCCATACCGCGATGTTATCATAAGCCATGTATTAGAATAAAGAATATTTTGTCATTTTACTAACACACAACAAATGTGTTTAATTATGAAAATTCCTATAGCAATGATTTTTCAGAAAAATAGATGGAATGGAAGAAATGAAAATGCTGTAAGCAATAACTAATGTTATCAGGATGCATTTTTCTACATCACTGATTGTCGATTATCAAGCAAATTAATTGCATTATGGATGAAAAACGTTGACCTTGAATAAAAATATTATCATTTTGTTCATATGTGATCGATACTGTAGTAAGGATTATGATATAACATTAAGGGATGGAACATGTGCTGTTTGTAATTAAAAGAAGTGAAGCAAAATGTAGCTTGTTCATAAACAACAATGGTAATATTTCCGGGATCATTTTTCCTTTTTTGGATTTATAATAGCACGAATTATAACAATAAATGAGATTTGATTTTTCATTTTTTGTCTACCAAACAGTGACATTATTTTAGAAATTGTTATATTCTTACTAACAAGTCTAATCCAATATACCTCCTACTCTTCAGCTTTTTTCGAGAAGTTAATTGTTTTCAATATTTTAAGTACGCATCCGATAGTGATCACAGTGGCATATTCAAAAAAAAAAAAAAAAAAAAAAAGAAACGAAGTGATTTATGAAGAAATGGTAAATTCTGCTGAATTTCATCCATTGTTTGAAATGATTTTGTCAAACGCAATAACAACAATTGACTTTTAACTTTTGCATGTAAATTAAAAGATAATGGTGCAATTTTTGTTTATATATTAAGAAGGTTACAGAAAATGCTATTCTGTGCTTTCGAATCATTGTCGATATTGAATGATAGCGTAATTTGATTTATTGCGGATATTCGATGGATTATCATCATAGGATTCTTTAATTATTGCTGCTTATTCGTATTCCGGCAGAAAGTAGAAAGATTTGTTCGCTGAGTACATTATTTTCGCTTATGATAGCCACAAAAATTTGAATAAATGAGACAAAAAATTTTTATTCAAAATTATAATAATATCAGATGTAAATTGAATTACTTATGGTTATTAAGTATGTGCCAGAATTTTGAACCGTACAGAAAGGACTTATTATTATTTTTAATTTAATATTTTCTAATCACTTAGTGCACCTCTATTTACTGAGCATAATGTGAGTGAGATGTGAATGCACTGAATTCTAGAATGTATTTTTTACGATCCAATTTGGTGATCAAATTATCAGCAGTATTCGCATTTTACAAATTTTATCTAATCAGCCAATAAGCATTATAAATTTGTCAAGTTTCTAAAAGTAAATAAACCATATTTTACCGATCAATTTTTTTTTTTTTGAATGAGGAATTTCGCACCTACTTTTTAGTAAATTATTTCTTTCGTCCAGATTGAAGAAAATAGTTATTAATTTTAAATTCTAAGAATAAAATGATTATAATCAGGGAAATGTGCTTCTGTTTCATGGAGCTTTCTTCACACCCGAAATTCTGGAACTATACAATGTGTACTTTTTGCTTTAATTCAACGATGTTAAGATTTTTCTATGCTGCATTATTATTCCATCGACAATCATTCAGAGCGATCAATTTACTTAGATTAATTTATGGAGTTATGGAGAAAATTGTGAGTAAAATCTTTGAGCTATTGTAAAAAAGTACTATTGTAAAAAATCATAGAAATAATAATTATTATAAAAAAAGACGAGTGATGAGAGAAAGAAGAAATTGATATAAGCAATAATATTCCAGAATTCTCCAGTTGACCAAATAGTTCCCTCTAGATCATATCATTTTCTTTTTTTGGTGCTGTTTCAGCAAGATATGATTTTTTTTTAGACTATACATTCAATATTTTTGCCCAGTTGCTTGTTCAAAGAATGGTAAACTATGATTTACTTAATTGTAGAAATTTGAAAAGCGTTATGACCTTACTAGTACTAGGATAAAATTTCTAAAGCGCGAAGAAATATTAATAATTTAATCGTTAAACAATTCGTAGCAAAATATCATTTGCATTTACATCTCACTCATTTTATTTCAGTGAACAGAGGTGTATTAAGTAATTGGAAAATATCAAATTTATGAAAAAGAAAAAAACTAAACTCCTCTCTTTATTTTCAGACCATTCAAATTGCATTTTACAACAACCTTACGACATTATTTTTAACCGCAATTTGCACTCTGCCAGCATCTTTAATTTATGGAATCACATCCTTTTGCACCACCAGCTACAACTTTAACAGCTTTATCCACTTCAGTCCTCGACATTTCCTTTGAATCTACTACTGTCTATTATTCTGTTGCACCAATTTCATATGCTATTGATGTAAGCAGTAGTATCCCATATCGCGATGTTATCACAAGCGAAAACAGTGCGCTCAGTCAACAAATCTCCACATTTTCTACTAATGCATGCTCGAATGTAAGCGGAAATGCGGAAGAACGCTACGATGATGCTCCAAGGGGCAATCACTTCAGCAGATGGATCGCACAATTTCTGCAGTTCGTATCACAAATTCAAGAAGTGAAAGCAGTTGACCAATTCATATTTTCTAAAAATATTTTTCTCGCTATTTACAATTTCTATTCATTTTTTTCTTGATTTCGATAAAGTTTTCACTCCTATTAAAGTTTTTCACACTTTATCTGCGAAGAAGTTTACTGCATCGATTTATATTACCTTCCTTCTCCATTTCTTCTGGGAGTTCAATTTTTTTTTTAAATCAAAAAGAAAATGAATCCATTATCCAAATGAATCACTTGCAACTATTTATCACTCAAAATACCTTCATCATACGGCTTATATTCCATCTTTGAATTTACCAATCATCAGATTTACCAATTATCCCCACAAATATTTGACACTTGCCTTATCTGAGAGTTGGTCAAAACAAAGTGTAAAATTATTCATAACTTTGATACGCTGGAATATATTAAGAAGGAATAAATAATGTTTGAGTGAATCTTTCCTACGAAACTGAAAAAAACTGTATTCGTTACTAATAGTCCTACAAAATTTATTAACATATATGCAAGCCACGCTGCATGTATTTCCTTTTGCTTTCCGTTGCGAACTATTTAATGGATAAAGCTAGCGACATGCTTCATTGTTATTGCTATTTATGTGAAAAGTTTCCAGTAGAAATTCTAATAAATCTATCGGTCGATCTCAGATCACATAATGACATAGCATAGCAGTAAGGGAGATCATTTCTAGGTATGGACAGATTAAAAGCTGAAATTGATGCTTTTGTAGGTAAGTAATAATCAACTAGATTAACTGGTATCACAACAAACATATATGCTTCCAGATATTATTGCAAAAAATCAGCAACACACAATTAATCGACCAAGATGATGCAGTGAAATAGGAAAAAGGAGGAAAGAAAATGTCTGTTGGTGGGAAAGTTGCAGTAGAAGTGTTAAACATATAATGACTCTAATTTCAGTACGGGAATGTATTCGACGTTTAATTCTTTGGGGATTGTCCCATTCGTAATTTTCAATATTCAATCTGGTCGTCTTCTGGAACGAACTTTGCATCCTTTATTTTCTTTGACCTAAAACAATCAATATTCATATATGTATATATATTTAAATGAACTTGAAATCTCAACTGATGGTATTTGTTAAAAAAGGGATATTATGCAAGAAAATTCGTTTGACTTTGAAGAGGCAGAGAATTTTAATAGATTATCATACTTCGTTTTACTTTTTTCCCAACTGCAAGGGCAGCGTTTAATCGTTGTTGCATACGCTGTAGATTGTAACTGCGTCTGATGTCTGACAGGTTCGGATTTATTAATTCACCAGGTATTTGCTGCCTGTGAGGCAGGTGTAATCCTTCCATAGGGTTGGCTGAAATGAAAAGATGTCCAGAATTTCGCATTTGGATAAGCAAATTAAAAGACAAATGTTTTAGTTTTTTATTTTCTAAACAGATATTTAAAATTTGGTTTTTGAACTGGATTAGTACCCACGTAATCAAAATTTATTAATTCGGAGGTAAAATCAATCCACATAAACAAACAACAGAAACAAAAATCTGTAATTGAACTAAAATCGGAGCACACGATCACTTCATTCCGGAAATGTTATTTTTTTAGGAATTTGAAACGATTAAGAAAAAAGAAATTATTGACGATTATTGATTGCACTAGGACCATTGGATTGCTATTTCTCTCTCTCTCTCTCTCTCTCTTTCCCTCCTTCCTCTTCTGCTCTTAATCCTTTATTTAATCAATTAATTCATTTTTTAGGTTTTCAGACAATTTTTTTCTTCAAGCAATCGGCTCAAACGAGTAACTTCAACGTTTCTTCGCTACCGTTACTTCATAAACATGTGGAAAATAGTTATTTCAATTAAGAAAAAGTAAGATAAACCAACTTCGTTGCAACGATGTCGTTGGTAACTGCTGATCGATCTGAAATTGAAAATATTTTTAATATCAATTTAGCATTGCAACATTGTTCCTAGAATCGGCCTGAAATCTTCGACTATTATTATTTCAATTTGAAAATTTAAATCGTCATTGATTTTATTGATTTGAAATTTAAATAAAATAAAATTACGCTAACAATAATAACGTTAACGCTTAAGAGTATCAGCTAGGTGTATAACAAGTTGATAAAATCCATTGTAATATCTGAGAGTTCAAATGAAATACAAAGAGAAACTTCCAGTGATTGAGGTATTTCTCAGCTCATTTTGGTCGATTAATATTAAATTATTAAATTGAACAATTTTCCTCACCATTTCTTCAGCTAAATTTATCATTAATTTTGCATCAGCGTTCCTGCAGAAATCTTCCTCTATTCGGGATATTTTTGTGGGTAATTTATTGAAATTGGGATCCAGTACAGAACTAGTGCTTCTTGTTGGCTTCACCCATTTGGAAATCGATTGAAAGCGAGATGGTGATACGGGATTTTCTAGATTACCAGCTTGTGATAAATTTGGTGTAATATTTTCTCGTTCTTCAACTGTTTTCAGTGAATTCCATTGCTTTCGGTATTTCAAGTAATTATGTGTCATTAAATCGACCGCATCTGGTAGTGATGGCGGTGGCATATTTAAAGAAGAAGCAATCGCTCTAGCTTCTTCCCAAGCATCTTGTGCTAATCTAGCATAATGTGTTGCTTGATCATGTAACAGTCGAATTTTATGAATAAATGATAAATTCTGCTGAAATTCATCGGTTCCTTGCAAAGATTTTGTAGAAGGCAATGATAACGACTGAGTTTCTTTTTTTTCATGTAAATTAGAAGATAAAGGCAACTGCTGTAGCGGAATTTTCTCGTGTTGATTAGAAGGTAGTAGCAATTGCTGTGCCGTAACGCTAGACTGAACAGCAGAGGATGATGGCAAACGTTGTGAAGGAACGTTCACTGGTAGCTTAGAACATGATGGTAACTGTTGTGTTACAACTTGCGTTTGCAGAGAAGATAATGGCAACCGCTGTGCCGCAACGTTTACTTTCATATTAGTAGGAGATAATAACAATTGCTGCGCTGCAGTGTCAATTTGTAAATCGCTACAGATACGATGCAACTGCAACATTTCCGCTGTTGATTCATTGCAAATATCCGATAGAATATCATCGTAGCGTTCTTCCGCATTTCCGCTTACATTCGAGCATGCATTAGTAGAAAATGTGGAGATTTGTTGACTGAGCGCACTGTTTTCGCTTGTGATAACATCGCGATATGGGATACTACTGCTTACATCAATAGCATATGAAATTGGTGCAACAGAATAATAGACAGTAGTAGATTCAAAGGAAATGTCGAGGACTGAAGTGGATAAAGCTGTTAAAGTTGTAGCTGGTGGTGCAAAAGGATGTGATTCCATAAATTAAAGATGCTGGCAGAGTGCAAATTGCGGTTAAAAATAATGTCGTAAGGTTGTTGTAAAATGCAATTTGAATGGTCTGAAAATAAAGAGAGGAGTTTAGTTTTTTTCTTTTTCATAAATTTGATATTTTCCAATTACTTAATACACCTCTGTTCACTGAAATAAAATGAGTGAGATGTAAATGCAAATGATATTTTGCTACGAATTGTTTAACGATTAAATTATTAATATTTCTTCGCGCTTTAGAAATTTTATCCTAGTACTAGTAAGGTCATAACGCTTTTCAAATTTCTACAATTAAGTAAATCATAGTTTACCATTCTTTGAACAAGCAACTGGGCAAAAATATTGAATGTATAGTCTAAAAAAAAATCATATCTTGCTGAAACAGCACCAAAAAAAGAAAATGATATGATCTAGAGGGAACTATTTGGTCAACTGGAGAATTCTGGAATATTATTGCTTATATCAATTTCTTCTTTCTCTCATCACTCGTCTTTTTTTATAATAATTATTATTTCTATGATTTTTTACAATAGTACTTTTTTACAATAGCTCAAAGATTTTACTCACAATTTTCTCCATAACTCCATAAATTAATCTAAGTAAATTGATCGCTCTGAATGATTGTCGATGGAATAATAATGCAGCATAGAAAAATCTTAACATCGTTGAATTAAAGCAAAAAGTACACATTGTATAGTTCCAGAATTTCGGGTGTGAAGAAAGCTCCATGAAACAGAAGCACATTTCCCTGATTATAATCATTTTATTCTTAGAATTTAAAATTAATAACTATTTTCTTCAATCTGGACGAAAGAAATAATTTACTAAAAAGTAGGTGCGAAATTCCTCATTCAAAAAAAAAAAAATTGATCGGTAAAATATGGTTTATTTACTTTTAGAAACTTGACAAATTTATAATGCTTATTGGCTGATTAGATAAAATTTGTAAAATGCGAATACTGCTGATAATTTGATCACCAAATTGGATCGTAAAAAATACATTCTAGAATTCAGTGCATTCACATCTCACTCACATTATGCTCAGTAAATAGAGGTGCACTAAGTGATTAGAAAATATTAAATTAAAAATAATAATAAGTCCTTTCTGTACGGTTCAAAATTCTGGCACATACTTAATAACCATAAGTAATTCAATTTACATCTGATATTATTATAATTTTGAATAAAAATTTTTTGTCTCATTTATTCAAATTTTTGTGGCTATCATAAGCGAAAATAATGTACTCAGCGAACAAATCTTTCTACTTTCTGCCGGAATACGAATAAGCAGCAATAATTAAAGAATCCTATGATGATAATCCATCGAATATCCGCAATAAATCAAATTACGCTATCATTCAATATCGACAATGATTCGAAAGCACAGAATAGCATTTTCTGTAACCTTCTTAATATATAAACAAAAATTGCACCATTATCTTTTAATTTACATGCAAAAGTTAAAAGTCAATTGTTGTTATTGCGTTTGACAAAATCATTTCAAACAATGGATGAAATTCAGCAGAATTTACCATTTCTTCATAAATCACTTCGTTTCTTTTTTTTTTTTTTTGAATATGCCACTGTGATCACTATCGGATGCGTACTTAAAATATTGAAAACAATTAACTTCTCGAAAAAAGCTGAAGAGTAGGAGGTATATTGGATTAGACTTGTTAGTAAGAATATAACAATTTCTAAAATAATGTCACTGTTTGGTAGACAAAAAATGAAAAATCAAATCTCATTTATTGTTATAATTCGTGCTATTATAAATCCAAAAAAGGAAAAATGATCCCGGAAATATTACCATTGTTGTTTATGAACAAGCTACATTTTGCTTCACTTCTTTTAATTACAAACAGCACATGTTCCATCCCTTAATGTTATATCATAATCCTTACTACAGTATCGATCACATATGAACAAAATGATAATATTTTTATTCAAGGTCAACGTTTTTCATCCATAATGCAATTAATTTGCTTGATAATCGACAATCAGTGATGTAGAAAAATGCATCCTGATAACATTAGTTATTGCTTACAGCATTTTCATTTCTTCCATTCCATCTATTTTTCTGAAAAATCATTGCTATAGGAATTTTCATAATTAAACACATTTGTTGTGTGTTAGTAAAATGACAAAATATTCTTTATTCTAATACATGGCTTATGATAACATCGCGGTATGGAATACTTCATCTTTTCGTCATCGAATTGCAATCAAAACATACCGATAATGGACGCATGCCTACACTAAGACATTTCTTCAGTCGACAAGGTTGACATTTGTTTCGGTTTTCCACATTCACTATACAATTACCACCATTATAGCATGTGTATTTCATTTTTTTCTGGATATTTCTTCGAAAAAAACCCTAAATGAATTGTCTAAAAATATTACGCAACCAATTAGTCATTATTAATAAAAACAAACAATTATTGCTTATTTCTCAGATTTTTCAGAGAAATTTTGTCACAATATGTAATAGCAATGGTTAGACATTAGGAAGACATGAAAGAGTACATTCAGAATGTTGGCTTGCCTATTATTCTGCAATACTTTACATCAATTTTAACCAATGAATAAAATCTCTGCGCATTAATTACAATGCGTACTTTGCATCCTTCACAACTTAATACACCGTAATGATTCCCCGAAGCTTTATCGCCACATACAGCGCATAAATTACTATTTTCTTCATTTGAATACATCAAAGAATTTTTGCGGCTTTCACGATCATCCTTCTTCTTATGTAGTGATGGACTAAGCTGAGATGTAGCAGGTAAAACTTGATGCCGTCTATTCACTAAATGATTTCTGTTCATGGGAATGTTAAAATTCAAAACTAATTGTCGTGATAATTGTTGTTCGTGAAATCCAGCTGGCATAGTATATGTTATTTGTTGCTCAGTATTGTTTGTTGCAGCAGAGGAGCTGGGATCTGAATATGATTTCACTTCTTGAAATACTTCTCCTCTGTCCTCTTGATTGGTTTCCTGAAATGATTGTATTTATTTTGTTCATTAAATATTTACGGCATTATGCTATTTTCTGATTACACAAAACCAATTAGACTTATTTAATCTCACAAAAAAAAGCTTACTGATATTGTCACAAGAGAATCGGTAACTGGGAATGGCTGAATCATATTACAGAGATGAAATTTCGAGCCATATGAAGGAGCATTATTGGTTGACGTTTCACCTGAGTGCATATTGTTAGACATTTCATCAACATATGGTGAAAATTCTGACATCTGATTTGTTGGATATGAAACCGATGGCTTTGATGATAAGTGTTGTTCATTGAAATTGGTTTCAAACATTTCATTCCTTGTTGATCGTTTTACATCCAATTCGTTGCAATGTTCCAACGATTGACTTCCACTATCATTTGGTCGTTTCAAATATCGATATTCTACCGAAGCACTGGAAGATGTCAACAGTGGATTCACAATAGTTCTGTCCACTGTATTCTCTATTACTGCTGCTTGGCATCCTATTGTGTCATTGCTTAACACAATTTGCTGCGAATTAGGCAAAATTAGTGCATCTATAAGTGGCATTGCAGTAGAAGTATGAGTATCTGTGACATCAGATGACATTGAAACTGAAGCAGGAATATTGAAGATGACATCGAGATTTGCAGCACTATTTGAACTGCTATCGGCAGTAGAAAGTGGCGCGAAGTCATCCGTTGAATTCTGAATAAATGTTGATGAACTGTGTTGCAACGGTGTAATTGTCGGCCTCATCCGATCAAAGTCTTCCAAATGATTATTTGAAATATCAATATATGATGATTGGGTTGTATCAGAAGATAAGTTATCATAATAAGTTGCAGATGAAATAGGCAATCGAAATTCCTCCATTCCGCTGTTACTCGTATCATTGATGGTGGCGGCATTCGATGTTCCATAGGAAACAGAATGATCCAAATGCTGGGATAGAAAAAAATCCTCCCAGTCAAATTGTTCTGACATATTCGATCAGCTTTTTGGGCACTTTTATCGACGAGAAGTTATTGTGCACAGCGAGCAGCAACAAACAATTTTCAAAAATGTTGTTTTTGAAAAGAGAATTGAACTAAGCGTTGTAAATTGTGGGAGTGGACCTCACAAAGATTTTTTTTTGATACGGAAGACCATTGGTCAATAACGAAGTGTTATGTGATGAATGGGAGGATCCTATAATTTGAATATCTGAACAATCATCAAGTTAATGAAAATATAAATGGCAAAATAACAAAAGGGGATCAAATGGATATTTTGTAAGCCCTCTTCATATCTCTCTTTCTCTTCCTGTGCATATAGCGTTTGGGATATTTGTTTCATTTCACACACCTTTTTGCAGTTTACACCGTTTACTGAATCACTGTCTTTAAAATTCGATTTACTAAACAAAGTGGCCTTACATTGATCGTTTTCATCATTCATTTTTGTTGCTAACCTGAAAAAATCTCAAACTTCTTCAAATGGAAATATCCGTTGACAATAAAACTTTTCAATGTAATAAGAAATGAATTGATTCTCTTCAAACTATGGCTGACGCCTAGACAGCTCTTATGGTGCAAGACCTTCAAGCCAGACAGCTGTTAAGTGGAAGGTCAAATAAAGTGTGTCTATAAGTAGGATGAACCGATTAGCTTCAGGACAGCCGTCCCAGGATGGTAACTCTGACTTTAAACCCATAAAT